GTGCTTAATCTCATTTTTTGTTTTTTTTTTTGTCTGCTAAAAATGGTGTCTTCTGTTTGGAAAATGATACACTAATTTGACCGAAGTCCATCAAATTAAATATATAAAATCTAAAATTTATTGTACACAAAAAAAAAAAAATATCGAAAATTTCATAAATGTTACCATTTTGGCAAATTAGCTAGTAGTGATCACCAATACTTGACAAATGCATTTTTTTTTTTTTTATGATTTTGCCAAGTTAGTATGTGTATTAACTATTAAGGTCGATTATGATCCTTAAATTAATGTATTACAAAAGTAAAATAAAAAAAATGCCAGAAATTTATAGGATCATGACAAAGTAAACAAAAATTATTAAAGTACAAAGATATGACATATAAATTTGGGATGTTTTATTCCTATGACTTACAATAATTGATATTACGAATTTAATTTGAAGAAGCTTAATTAATGTCACATGCATGTTTCCACAATTATATTAATTTTTTGACTCTAAATTAAATTAAATGAGTGTTTTTATATGAAAGTATTAAATTACTCAGCTACATATTAATATTAAAAAAAATCATGGATTTAATATGTGTTGAGTACATTTTTAGCGTATTAATGTCTTAAAACACAAGTTACATAGCCGTAGCTATCTCTAGCGTTTTCCAAGACGTTAAGAAGCAAACATCAAAAGTTTGTTTACTATAATGTTTTCACTTGAAAAATCAAAGCACTCACCATGTAGCATGACCTGTTTAGCTAGTTTCATGTTACTTGCAATACAAGATACACACAAAAAAACACAGAAAAACTCCTTTTGCACGTTTTTGAAACTTATATTATGTCCTTTTACATCAAGAAACAAAAAAAGGGTCGGCTACAAATTTAGGTCCTAACGCGCGGTTGAATATTATTAACGACCACTTGATATGTATTCACTTGTTACGAGTTTCCTTTAAGAGTCGATAGATTTATTCATGTATATAGTTCATACGATTTGGGAAGATATGTGGCTTGGTTTGTAAGAACTAAAGAAAGACTTCAAACAAAAATCTATTCACATAACTCCTAATGGTTGAGAATCGGTTTTTGAGTATCTTGTATGACTGACCCGATTGGTTTCATAGCGAAACTGATTGGAATATAAAAGTATAAGGACAAATATATATGCTAAATTTGTTCTAACTTTTTGCATAATTCAAATGATTAGCTTTACATATTCTATCGATGGCATTGTAACTTGTAGATGGGCTCATATTGCGAGCCACTTGCCGGGAAGAACAGACAACGAGATCAAGAACTACTGGAACTCGTGGATCAAAAAGAAGATACGAAAATCCTCCTCCACATCCTCGCTAACAACCTCGACAAACACAATTAATGCCTTACCAAAATCCGACCACCAAATGCCCTCATCACAATTCACCACATCATACACACAAAACCACCAACTCGAAATCTCAAGCCGCAATAATCAAGACCTCGCCGCGAAATCCTCGCAAGTTCAAGAAAATTCCGCAACTCTACTCCCTCTCCCGAGTCCTCGTTTCATGTTCGAAATCGAGGGCATGATGAGCTTGAACAACAACCTTAACTCCCGAATGGATAATAGTAATAATCACCCGATTTTCCAAGAAAATAACCGAGAAACGTGGCAACCAAACAAGATGATTAGGCACGACGAACATCTAGCCGCCGGTCAGCCGGATATGGTCCAATTCACGAGCTTCGGTTTGACTCCGTTGATCGATAACATTGAGAGCATGATGATGCCGGTTGACCACCGGCAAGTGCAGAGTTTCGTGGGGCCCGGACAGGTGGCGGAGCTCGACTGCATGGGAAGAAACGAGGTGATTAACGAATGGGTCGACGCGCAAAATTGTTCGAGTTATCTGTTTTGGGATCAGTTAGCAGGGCAGTTTGGAGGGGAAGAAACAATTATGCCAAGTGCTTCATCAAATGTGGGTACCATTTTGTACTCTTCATTTCCTTCATCTCTATGACTAATGATGAAGCTTGAGGTCTTCTAATATGGAGGTGCATTAATGCATGTGAGTGAAAGTAAGATTTCTAATATTTATGTGTTTTATTACTACTTGATTTTATTTTATTTTATTTTATTTTTTTCCTTTTTTTGCGGGGGATTTTTAACTTGTTATATGTATGCTTTGCGAGATTGTGAAAA